TGGCTCTGGAAGTGTTAACTGTTCAGGGAGAACTGAAGGAGCATCACATCAGCCAAAGCATGTGCTGACCATTTTGTAATTTTGTAATTCATGGAGAGGTGTAGTTAATGACACATGGGAAAAGACATGTTTTTATGAGTGTTCCTTATTTGGCTAGTTGTGAATTGTGTTACTGAATGGATGTGTAGGCAATTCTGTAATGAATGTAGAGAATTGTCTAGAAACATGTAAAAACAGATGTTCCTAAGAGTGTTATTTGAAAACAACAGCAAAAGGACTCTTAGCAACTTTCAAATATACTCGATCACTTGCTTAAACATAAGCACTTAGTGTCCTATGTTGCCTCCTTAGCACGACTTTGGCTGCACCCCACATATTTCGATATGTAACGCTTTCACTTTCATTCAATTAAAAAAACATATTTCTTTAGAGAGAGCGAGTACACACGAGCGGTGGGCAAAGGCAGAGGGCGAAGGAGACAGAGAATTTTTTTTTAAAAGATTTTATTTATTTGAGACAGAGAGAGAGAGACAGAGAGCACAAGAGGGAGAGAGGGAGAGGGAGAGGGAGAAGCAGGCTACCCACTGAGCAGGGAGCCCGATGTGGAGCTCGATCCCAGGACCCTGAGATCATGACCCGTGCTGAAGGCAGATACTTAACAAACTGAGCCACCCAGGCGCCCCGGAGAGAGAGAATCTTAAGCAGGCTCCATGCTCAGCGTGGAACCCGACATGAGGCTGGATCTCACAACACTGAGATCATGACCTTAGCCGAAATCAAGAGTCAGAGGCTCAACCAACTGAACCACCCAAATGCCCCCCAATTAAAAATATTTTTAATTTTTGACTTCCTCTTTGACCTGTGGGTGTGACTTAATTTCCAAATACCTGTGGATTTTCCAGATATCGTTCTGTGATTTCTAATTTAATTCGGTCCTAGTCTGAAAACATGCTTGGTAAGATTTCCATTCTGCGATCTTCCTTTTTATTGCAAGGGATTTTTGTTGTTGTTGTTGTTCAGCACTATATCCCTGGTACCTGGAACATAGCTTAACACATAGTAGGTTGTCAATACATATCTATTGAATGGATGAATGAACAACTGAATCCCCACTCCCCATTGGACATATCAGAAGACCTTTGCTCAGAGATATTCTACTCCCCTTAGGTCACACAGCAAGAATGGGGCATAGCTGGGGTCAGCCTGGGCTCATGGCCTTATGTTATATCTAGCTGATGGGACTGGATTGCTCTACTAGTTCCTGAGCACCTACTGTGTGGCAGGTCCCAAAGGATGGCGTTGGCTGTGGCCAGTACCCCCTCACAGTGAGACCATCCAGCCATCACTGCACTTACTTGCCCTAGGTCCACTCACCTCAAGGGGCGCCCTTGATGGGCAGAGATGCTATCAGTCCACTTGGCTGGTGTAACCCCACCTCCGTCCTCTCCCTCCCCTCTGACCCCACTTATCCATCTGGAGCCTGATGGTCCTGTGTGTGCTCAGCAGACAGGCTCCTTCTTTCTCAGAGGTCTCCATTTCTCCATCTGTAGAATGGGAATGGCTGCATGTACACCTCAGGCAGGATGGGGAGGTTCTGCACATTAATTACATCATGCAGTGTTAACAGGGGAAAGCCCAGCCCCTGGGATGAGCTTTCTCTGGAGAGGGAGGCTGGTCTGTTGCCACCCCCCCAACCTCATCTAGGGCTGGGTCACACTCCTTCCTCATGTGCTGGTGAAGATTTTCTGCTTCTGGAGACTGTGGGTTGCTTATATTGATCTGTGAGGCAAGAAATTCTATTTTAAGCTGCTCTTGTTCTGAACTTCTGTTACAGTAGCCCAGCCTAATATTCTAACTTGTGTACAGTCTTGATGGGATTTCCTTGTTGCTCAGGCCAATTTGAGTTGTGATTCCTTTTGTTTTTAGCGGAAAGACCCTTAGAGGGGGAATTGGGGTCTTGCCCCTTGCAGTATGGTTACCATCACAGATCTCTACAAATTCAGTGGCTATACAACAGTAACGGACTCTTTGATAGTTCTCCCGAGGTCAGAAGTTCAAATTGATTGATGGGGTTGAAATGTGTCAGCAAGACCACATTCCCTCAGAGGATCTAGTGGGAGAATCTGTTTTCTTGTCTTTTCAAGCTTCTAGAGCTGCATTCCTTGGTTCGTGGCCCCTTCCTTCATCTTCAAAGCCACCAGGATGGTATAAAACTTCAGAAAAAGGAGAGAGAGGCTTGAGACACAGACACACACAGGGAGAGGCGGGGTGACCACACAGGCAGACACTGGAGGGACGTGGCCCCAGCCAGGAAACGCCAAGAGCTCTGGAAGCTGGAAGAGGCAAGAAAGCATTCTCCCCTAGAGCTTCTGGAAGGAGCATGGCTGTGCCAACACCTTGATTTCAGACTTCTTTCCCCTCCCCCCAAGATAAATTAGATATTACATGTTATTTAAGACGTACAAACTGATGATCTGATATACATGTACATTATGAAATATTCGCCACAACCGGGCCAATCAACGTATCTATCACCTGATAGTTACCACTTTCCTTTTTTCTTTCTTGCTTTCTTTATGTGTGTGTGTGTGAAGACTCAAGATCTATCCTGACAACAAATTTCAAGTACACAGTACAATACTCTTAACTATAGTCACATTGTTGTACACCGATCCTCCAGAACTTATTCCTCTTACAGAACTGAAACTTTGTGCCCCTTAACCAACATCTACCCAATTTTCTCCTCCCCCAGCCCCAGGCGACTACCTGTCTGCTTCTATGGGTCCCACTATATGGAGGGCAAGGTCAGAAGTAGGCAGACCAGGTGGAGGCTCTTACTGTAATCTAAGTGAAAGCTGCTGATGGTCAGACTGGGAGGCGAGCCCGGCTCAGACACTGGGTATATTGCGAAGGTAGAGCCAACCAGAATTTCTAACAGATTGGTCAGATTTCCAATATCTAGGCTATCGAACAAACCACCTCAAACTTAGTGGCAAAAAAAAAAAAAAAAAGTCACTTCAGTAGCTCACAGATTCTATGGGACAGCTGGTTTCCACTCTACAATGTTATGGAGCCTCAGATTGGAAGACTTAGCAGGCTGGAGGTGACTCTACTGTCCTGGGGTCAGGAAACATCAGGAGTACCTTCACTCATATGCCTGGCACCTGGGCTGGGATACTTGAAATCTGGCCTCAGCTGGGACTGTTGAGTGGGTCACCTCCGTGTGGCTTGGGCTTCCTCACAACATGGCGGCTGGGAGCATGTGTTCTGACAGAGCCAGATGGAGGCTACCTCACTTCCACCGCATTCTGTTGGTTATAAGGTAATCACTAACATCATCCCAGATTCAAGGGGAGGAGAACTGGACTCTACTTCTTCTAATTAAAAAAAAAAATTTTTTTTTTTTTAAGTAGGCTCTACAACCAACATGGAGCCCAATGTGGGGCCTGAACTCACAACCCTGAGATCGTAGACCTGAGCTGAGATCGAGTCAGATGCTCAACCGACTGAGCCACCCAGGCAGCCCCTGGACTCTACTTCTTGATGGAGTGGCAAGGTCACATTGCATAAGAACATGTAGCACAAAGAGATACCGTTGCAGCCATCTTTTGAAAATTCAATTTGCCAGAGTCATGGAATGAGAGAAGAGAGGAGTGATGGATGATTCTAAGATTGTAGGCTCCAAAGGCTGATGGCGGTCCTCTGGAGAAGCACAGGCAGGCTGCCTTCATGGGCAGAGTTCCCCAAATGGCTCCAGACTGGTTATTCTACCGCCTTCACTTGGCTCACAGGGAACTCCCACAGCCGTGCTAAACCAAAAAATGCAGCCACTCCTCCTTGCAGCCCTTTCCCCCAAGTCCATGCTTTTGCTTCTGCTGTTTGAGATATGAGTTAAAACCTCATCCCTTGCTTTACCCATGGGGTGAACAGACTTCTGTCTTTAATTTTCACTTTTTAAATAACTTCCAGTCAGTGTCAAGCTCAGGGTGAAAAACCTTCCTTTGCAAGTTCTGTGTATATGACGGTGGTGACCAGCGTCCTTACATCCTGTTGTTCACACCCTCGTGTTGTCTCTTCCCATCACGACTCTGAGCTGGTCCATGTGAAAAAAATAGTAGAGACCATAGTCTGTGATTTGTGTGGCTAAATCATAAAAGGGGTCAATGGCTTCCACTGTGGCCTCTGCCACACTGGGGGGATGCTCAATCAGCCCTTTTTAGAGAGCGCTTCATCTTGGAAGCAGATCTTCCAGCCTCAGCACAGCCGTCAGAGACCACAGCCCCAGGGAGCCTCTTTACTTGTCTGATAAGTGGGTATAAAAGAGAGGTCCCAAGGCAGAACCACCCAGACAAGCTGCTCTTGAACTCTGAGCCACAGAAACTGCGAGATGATAAGTGCTTGCTGTCATTACGCAGTCAGAGATAACTGGGCCAGTGACCTAGCACCTCGCTGTGGAATGCAGGAGTACTTAGCACTTACCACTTTAACATTTTGTTGCAAATGTCACTTCCAGGGTGCCTTCCCTCTTTATCACTCTACATTAGCCCCTATCTTATCCCCTTACTCTATTTAATTTTAGTTTTAAATAATGCTTAGTGACTATTGGAAATAAAATAAAAAACCAAACCTTATTGTTTATTTCTATGTTTATGCTAGTTCAGTGTCTGTCTTGCCTTGATGGAAAGTTCCTTGAAGGAAGGAGCTTATCCATCTTTTCCACCCAGGGCCTCGCACTGGAATGCAGGGGTTGCTGTCTTTGTCACTCCTGTGCATGAATCCAAACTGGGAGAGAGGTATGTGTGTGTGTGTGTGTGTGTGTGTGTGTGAGTGTCTGTGTGTATATGTGGTTTGGGTGGTTCCCCTTAAGGTGGATTTGCATGTACTTGACTTTTGACGAAAAAGGGAACTGAGAGAAGCCCCAGGCACCTGAGCAGGAGGTATAGGAGGCAGAAGCTGTCCAGCTCTGCCTCTCCCCTCAGGCTCCTGGGTGAGCGGCAACCATGTACATGTATACCAACTCTGGGGGCCAGGACCTGCCAGGTATGGCCCTGGCCAGGCTTGAGCTGGGGGCCAGGGATGGTGGGACCCAGATTACAGTATTCCCCACCCTGTGGCTGGAAACTAGGGCCTGAGGGACAGAGGAGGGAATGGGCTGGGCTCTCACTTGCCTTTCCTCTGGAAGGGACCAGAGGGGAGGAGGAGGAGGAAGATGGTGATGATTATGAGAACATGGCGCCACCCTACAAGGATCTTCCTCCCAAGCCAGGTAAGAGGACTTCTCAGAGGCCAGGTGAAGGAATGTGTGTTCTGTAGCCTGGGGAAAGCAGGGTCCCCAGGGGACATTAGCTGGGCATTATAGACACACAGTCAGCCTCCTGCGTACCCAGCTCGTGCCAGGCACCATGTTGGCAGGAGTATGTGTCTGTGTCTCCACCCTGCCCTTGAGGCTCTCTCTGTCTGATGGGAGAGGCAGTTCTGGGCACAGCCTCAGGTGAGCAGGTCTGAGAAGGGAAGGACCAAGAGAATGGGGAAATCTCAAGGGGAATTGAGTGGTGGGAGATTGGGGTCAGAGGAGAGGATATTGGAGCAGGACTTAACGGATGAGTTGGAGTTTGTTAGGAAGAGAAGCCCAGTGGAGAACTGGTGGATGCAAAGGTCCTGGGACATGCAAGCTGGTGTTTCATAAAACTGTGAGTGGACCAGTGGCTCCCCAACTTCCTCGCATTCACACTCTGGGCCCAGATCGACCTTGAGACTTGGGTGCTCCATGCCAGGCCCAGGACTCAACAAGAGTCTGATAAGTGTGTATAAAAGTGAAGGCTTTAAAAAAAAAAGTGAAGGCTTTGAGGTTTCCCTGAGCCAACTCCCACTGGGGCCCCTGAGGGTTGACTGCGCTGTGTCGCTGTCCTTGGACAGTGGCCATTCCATGAGGGGTGGGGTGCTGAATCCACCACTATTTAATCCGGAGTGAGGCCAGCCTGGGAGGTCCCTGGGCACCGCGGGGCCCAGCATGAGGTAGGAGGTGAATTAGGCTCAGCTGTTTGTCAGGCTCTCAGCTCCCACTGGGTCCCATCCAGTTCTCAAACCCACCACCAAGACGGACTCCTCCACCTGATCATCAATGCTATCCCTTCCCCAAAGTTAGCCCCCTCCCCATCTCCGAGGGCAGCCCAATCTCCACCCCCATCTTTATTTCCAAGTCCAAAGTCATCACCCTACTCCAACACAACTAAAACCGAACTGTGACTTCCCCCTCCCGGTGCAGTTCCAGTCCCAATCTTTAGCTCTACCACGTCCTGAATCACAGCCCTAATGCCATGTCCCCCACTGTGCCCAACCCATCTTCAGTCCCATCCTCATCCTGACCACAGCTTGACTGCAGCCCTAGCCCAAACTCACCTGTGTCTTTAACTGGGGGTGAGCAGTTGTCCCAGTGTGCTCAGGACTGAGTGATTTCCTGGGATGTGGGACTTCCAGTTTCAAAACTGGGCAAGTCCTGGGTGATCCAGGATGGTTGGCCACTCTATCTTAACCCTCATCATCTACCCCCATCCTTACCCCCAATTAACCCCCCCATGCTCAACCCTATCCCTAGCCCTCCATTTTAGTCTCAGTCCTGGTTCCATCACTGCCTCCAGTCTGTTGCTGACCCTCATACCAGCTCTAATTCTGAACTTCTCTTCTGCAGATTCAATGGCTCCACCAAGGCCTCCGAGAGCAGGTGAGCTGGGGCTGGGGGTACAGGAGACCCAGTGCTGGTTTTGTCCTGCTCTGGGCCTGAGCAACCATTCCTCCCCCTCCCCACCCCCAGGAAAGAAAATGGAGAACCCCCCACTTCCCTGCAAGTCCCCAAAGATCAAAGGTGAGAATCTAGGGCTGGGGCCTTTTGGTTTACCTGGATGAAGCCCTGGTCTGCATAACTATTGTCTTTCTGACCCCTTCTAGGCCTGGACCTCACCCCTGTCCCGCGCACGTCTCCGCAACTGGGTGAGCAGCGGGAAGACCCTTTAAGAAGTCTGGGAGGGGACACCTGGAAGTCTTCCCTCCAGTTCCTCAATTCTGACCAGAGAACAAATCAAATGGGTTGGGGGAGGTGTTGATCTTGGAAGACAGAGTCTTTCAACAACTTTTTTCCCCAAAAAAACTTTTGAATAAACTTTTCTCTCCCTTTCTCCCAGGTGTCAATCTGGAGCATCCTCCGTTCCAGTCATCCCTAGCTAGTAAGTCCTCATGCCCTACAGGTGGGCCCCTATCTTCCCTCTCATGGTTGCAAGTATGCTTGAGTCAGACCTATGGCCCCAGAGGGAGGCCGTGGGGCAGAGAAAAGTGTCCTTTCAGAAGCTCTTCCTCTCTGAGTCTAGACCAGACCCTGAGGGACCCAGGGTGTCTGCCTGATACTCTTCAGGCCCCACCTCCTACTTGCATAAGGTACAGGAAACATTCTCTGCCCCTGATGCAAAAGCCCTTAAGCATCCTAGAATGGGGAGCAGCTTGGGCAGGGGATGCTGGAGAATACAAGATAATGCATTATAAATGTTAGGAGCAGTGCTGGGTCCAAGTCATACATGATCTCTCCAAGCCTTCAGGTTACTTATTTGCAAATTGGGAATAATCGTTACATCTATGTCATAAGGATGAGGACCCAATAAGATAATAAGGATGTGACATGATACTTGGCACATAGTAAGTTCTCTTCAGCATTCTAGGTTAGGTTGTAGTTGTGTTAGGTTACAGTGATGGTGTTGGATTTGGAAGTGGAGATGGGGATGGAGGTGTGGCTTCATTTGGAGATGGGGAGGGGGCTACATCTGGGGAAGGGGTGGCCCTGGAGCACAGTAAGTGCTCTTCTGGGCTTCTTCAGGGTTCTTTTCCCCTGACCCTCTCTTGCTGACCCCATCTGGAGATACAGTCATGACCACAGATCTCTGTCCCTCTGCTTTTGGAGAGAGGCTCAAGTGTCTCTTCCTCGCTCTCTGAAGCACCAATATTGGTCTCTCTGTCCCCATCCTCATCCCCCAGTAACTCCAGTGACCCACCTCAGTCAGAAGTCCAGGTGTCCTGGGTGCTACCAGGAGGAGAGACTGGTGGTGTACCTGTGCCTGCTGGTGGTGGTGTCACTGCTCCTGGGCTGCACTGGTCTGGCTGTGACCCTGATTAAGTGTGAGTAAGAAGAGGATGGGGCATGGGGAGAAACTGAGCATTGGGCATGGAAGGACTTGGGCTCAAGATGGATTCTTCCTCATAGACCAGGAGATGGTGGAAGAGCTGAAGATATTAACCTTTCAGCAGATGGCATGGCAAGCAAATGGTGAGTGCTTTCAATTGTCCCTTCATGCCATCCATATTGACACCCACTGTGACCCCTCAAACCCAACTCCAAGACCACTTCCAATCCCATCTTTGCCAAGCCTTGTGTTAGGTATTGGGGCACGGGTAGGAGAGTGAACACATCAGGCACAGTTCCTGTTCCTGTGGAGTGTGTGTGTGTGTGTGTGTGTGTGTGCATGCGTGTCTAGACTTCCACTGTCCAATATGGTGGCCATGAATCACTGGCTATTGAGCACTTACAGTGTGGTTGTTCCAAACTGAGATGTGCTGCAATTGTGAAATACACACCAATGTCAAAGACTTGCTACAAAAAAAGAGTGTAAAATATCTCAACAATATTAATAATAATAATCTTTAATATTGATTACTCATTGAAATTATACTTTGGATATATTGGGATAAGTAAAGTAAATTAATTTTGCCTGCTTCTTTTGACTCTTAAAAAATATGGCCATTAAAACATTTAAATTTATGTATGTGGTTTATATTTTATTTCTGTTGGACAGCACAGGCAGGTATTGAGAGCCGTTTACCAAATTATCACTCAAATGAGCATACAATTCCCAATCTCAATGAATAGTCAGTCCAAAGGAAGATCATTCTATGAAAAAAAATCTAATTAGGGATCTTGACCTTATCTTTGGGAGGGTCATACAGGGCTTCCCTAGGGAAAGAGTGCTACAGTTTATTGAGGGAAGAGAAAAAATTAATCACATGAGAGGTTGAGGGTTTTAGGTATATGCAAAGGTCCTGTGTTTAGGAGGCAACATCATAAATACAAGCGAGGAGGATGGTGCAGTTGGACAGGTGAGAGGTAATGGTGACTTAGATGAGAGTTGTGGCCATGAGGATGAACAGAAGTGGGTAGAGCAGAAAGGTTTAGGAGGTAAAAGTGACTGGACCTAGAGATGGACTGGGAACGGCAGTGAGTAAGAGGAAAGGGTGTCAAGCTGGAAGAAGGCACGTTTGTGTGGGACCAGTGGGAATACACACATTAGTTGTAGCAAAGTCTTCTGGGCTGGTACAGCCTTCATCATGTTTGTTGAAGTCTGAAAATAGTTCCATTATATGTGCATGCCTTCTCTGCACATCTCAGATCAGGCCACTGTTCTGCTCAAAACCCACTGATGGTTTCTCACTGCCCAGAGTCCAACATAAAACTCTTTTTTTAAAATTTAATTTAATTTTATTATGTTGTTAGTCACCATACAGTACATCATTAGTTTTTGATGTAGTGTTCCATAAGTCACTGTTTTCATATAACACCCAGTACTCCATGCAGTACGTGCCCTCCTTAATACCTATCACCAGGCTAACCCATCCCCCCACCCCCCTTCCCTCTAAAGCCCTCAGTTTGTTTCTCAGAGTCCATAGTCTCTCATGGCTCATCTCCCCCTCCGATTTCCCCCCTTCATTTTTTCCTTCCTTCTCCTAACGTCCTCCATGCTATTCCTTATGTTCCACAAATAAGTGAAACCATATGATAATTGACTTATTTCACTTAGCATAATCTCCTCCAGTCCCATCCATGTTGATGTAAAAGTTGGGTATTCATCCTTTTTGATGGCTGAGTAATACTCCACTGTATTTATGGACCACAGCTTCTTTATCCATTCATCTGTTGAAGGGCATCTCAGCTCTTTCCACAGTTTGGCTATTGCGGACATTGCTGCTATGAACATTGGGGTGCATATGGCCCTTCTTTTCACTACATCTGTGTCTCTGGGGTAAATACCCAGAAGTGCCATTGCTGGGTCATAGGGTAGTTCTGTTTTTAATTTTATGAGGAACCTTCACACTGTTTTCCAAAGTGGTTGTACCAACTTGCATTCCCACCAACAGTGTAAGAGGGTTCCCCTTTCTCCACAACATCTCCAACATTTCCAACACGAAACTCTTGGCTTGGCATTCAAGGACCTGGACATCAGACCTCATCCTCCTTTGAGCTTTAGCTCCTGTGAGGTTTGCCTTGACCTCTACCACTGCAGCCTTCCCCAACACACTTGCCTCTCTACCTTGGCTTCCAAGGTGGCCCCTGCCCTTAGAGTCTCCCTCTTCCTCTCACAGATACTAAGTTACCATCTTCCTCCAGATAGTCCACCATCTCCACTCTTCCCCAAGGCTCAGAGATCAGTTCCTCCTCTGAGCCACTCTAGGACTCTCTAGGAACTGCACATATCATTTTGAGTTCTAGCAGCACTCACTAGAAAGAGGGTGCAGTAGGGGGTACAGATCTTGCTTCTGTCTTATGTGTTTGCAGTCAGTGGTGGGTGGGTGGGTAGATGGGGGTTTGGGTTTCTAACCTTCCAGCCCATCTCTACTGACAGTGACTGGCACGGCGGGGATAGCTGGCCTGAAGAAGGACATTGACCACATAAGAACTTACACCAACCAGTCCCTAGTAGAACTTCGGGGCTTATTAGGTGAGTGGGACTTGGGGAACTGCCCTGAGATGGGGGGCATGACAGAGCTGGCACATTGCACAAATCCATGGGGGGCAATTCTCACTGCAGTCTGCCTGAATGGTGCCCCCTGGAATTGAGCTGTGCACAGCCTGCACAACTGTATATGGCATACCATGTACATGACCCTGGCTCTGGGGCCATTCTGACAGCATCTTATTCTGTCCCCAGACTGTACCAAGGTCACCTGCCCGGAGGGTTGGCTGCTCTTTGAGGGAAAGTGTTACTACTTCTCCCCAACCACCAAGTCATGGGATGAAGCCCGGAAGTTCTGCCAGGAGAATTACTCTCACTTGGTCATCATCAGTAGCTTTGCTGAACAGGTGATCTGTCCCTTCCAAGCCCTTGAGAATCAGTGGGAATCACATATCCTTCCCTGGTCTGGATGGAGAGACATTGGAATTGCTTTTGAGCCACTAAGACTTTTAATAGCAAGGTTGAGAGGACATACTCTACTTAGGTTTAAATCCTGATTGTTTCTTATCCTGAGTATCAGTTTGTTCTCTAACCTGGAGCTATAATAAAGGCTATCTCTTAGCACTTTCTATTCTCCAGGCTGTATTCCAAACGTCTTATATCTTACATTAACATAATCCTCACAACAATCCTGTTACTTAGTGTGTGAGTCAGGAGAGGTTATGTTCTGCTGAAATAACAGACAGCCCCTGTAACTCAGTGGTGAAAGTTAAGGGGCAACTCTGAAAGCTTCCACTTACTTGTACTCACAAAGCAAGTCACATAGGTCCTCCTATGCTTTTAGGTGGTAGGGAAATAGTTCCACCTGTGGAGGAGAATTGGCATTTGGTAAGCAACTGCAATGATTTGATGCTACCACGATTAGATAGCAAAACCATTTGTACACAGTACATTCTATTTGTACTTCACAGATGAGGAAACTGAGGCACAGTACATTTAAGAAACTTGCCTGTGGTCACTTACAGCTAGCGAGTGTCAGAGCTGGGATTTGAGCCCAAATGTTTGCATGGTTTATCTTTCACCATCTTTTTACTTTAATTTATCTGTGTCATTATTTTCAAGTGGATTTCTTGGAGACAGCATATAGATGGGGTCTTGTTTTGTAAATTCAATCTGACGATTTCTGGCTCTTAATTGGTGTTTTTAGGCCACTTATATTTGATGTAATTAAATTGATGGCTGAATGGAGTTTGTACTTGCAGAACTTTGTGGCCAAGGCTCATGGCTCTCCACGGGTGTACTGGCTGGGGCTGAATGACAGGGAGCATGAAGGGGACTGGAAGTGGCTGGATGGGTCACCTGTCACTCTGAGGCAAGTATCGAGGGCTCTTTGGGTCTCTGCTCCCTGTGGGTCTTTGTGCAGTCCGAGCCAGAAGATTCTCTAGAATCCCCAGCTGGATAGAGGAGGCTCAAAGGTGCTTTTTTGCCAGTAGGGCTTCTGGTCCCTGTACCTTTAAAATTTTCCCCCATTGCAACCTCTCCTCCTTTTAGCACAACTGCTCAAATACATCAGGTCCCCAGGTCAATGGCTGGGGGGAAAAAAGGAAAGAAAGTGTGGCTACAACGCAGGAGAGAGGAAGCTTTTGATTTGCCTAGAGGATGAGCCGGATCTCTGTGTCTCTGTCTCTCTGTCTCTGACTCTCTGCACTTTACATATATTAACCCATTTGTTTAATCTTTTTAATAATCCCATAAGGAAAGTACTATTATCATCTCCATTTTATTTTATCCTATTTCTTGTCATCTCCATTTTAAAGATGAGGAGACTGAGGCACAGAGAGGTTAACCAACCTGCCTCGGGTCAGAGAGCTAGCAGGTGGTAGTGCCAACCAACCTAACTTTAATTAATTAATTAATTAAAAAAAATTTTTTTAAAATTTATTTATTAGAGAGAGAGAGAGAATGAGAGATAGAGAGCACGAGAGGGAAGAGGGTCAGAGGGAGAAGCAGACTCCCCGCTGAGCAGGGAGCCCGATGTGGGACTCGATCCCGGGACTCCAGGATCATGACCTGAGCCAAAGGCAGTCGCTTAACCAACTGAGCCACCCAGGCGCCCCCAACCTAACTTTAAAGTCTATACTTTTGGGTGCCTGTGTGGCTCAGTCAGTTAAGCATCTGCCTTCTGCTCAGGTCATGATCCCAGGGTCCTGGGATCGAGTCCTGTGTTGGGCTCTCAGCTCAGCAGGGAGTCTGCCTCTCCTTCTCACTCTCCCTCTGTGCTCTCTCTCTCAAATAAATTAAAAAAAAATCTTAAAAAATAAAGTCTATACTCTTAGCCCTTATACTTTACTTTCTCAAGGAGTGTATGTATTTATATTTAGGTAAATGTTAACAAATTGTCCCCCATAGTGGTTATACAAATTTATTCTTTCACTGTCTTGGCTATTTTTCTTCATCAAAAGTTCATCTAACTTTTGTAATTTTTGATGGCTTAATTGTAAGTGAAAATGAAATCACAATATCGTAATAATTTGCATTTCTCTTATAATGACTGAGATTGGGTATCTTCTCATATGTTTAATAGCCACAGGTATTAACTTTTCTGTGAAGTGTTTGTTCATATCACTGGTATATTTTTATATTGAGATTTTCTTCTTATTTATTTATTTTATTTTATTTTTTTAAAAAAATTTCATTTATTTGACAGAGAGAGACACAGTGAGAGAGGGGACACAAACAGGGGGAGTGGGAGAAAAAGAAGCAGGCTTCCCGCGGAGCAGGGAGCCCAATGCAGGGCTCAATCCCAGGACTCTGGGATCATGACCTGAGCAGAAAGCAGATGCTTAACAACTGAGCCACCCAGGCGCCCCATTTTTATTTCTTTTTTTAAAGATTGTATTTATTTATTTATTTGACAGAGAGAGCACAAACAGGGGGAGCAGCAGAGGGAGAGCGAGAGCAGGGAGCTTGATATGGGGCTCCCTGGGATCATGACCTGAGCCTAAGGCAGACGCTTAACCGACTGAACCACCTAGTCATCCCTTCTTATTTATTTATTTTTAAAGATTTTATTTATTTATTTGAGAGAGAGAGAATGAGAGATAGAGAGCACGAGAGGGAAGAGGGTCAGAGGGAGAAGCAGACTCCCCACCGAGCAGGGAGCCCGATGCGGGACTCGATCCCAGGACTCCAGGATCATGACCTGAGCTGAAGGCAGTCGCTTAACCAACTGAGCCACCCAGGCGCCCCCTTCTTATTTATTTTTAAGAGCTCTTTATATATTAGAGATATTAGTGTCCTGACAGGGGATCTCATTTTTTAAAAATTTTTTTATTGTTATGTTAATCACCATACATTACATCATTAGTTTTTGATGTAGGGTTCCATGATTCATTGTTTGTGCATAACACCCAGTGCTCCACGCAGAATGTGCCCTCTTTAATACCCATCACCAGGCTAGGGATCTCATTTTCTATTAAAGATTCCTGGAACAATGGGGCACCTGGGTGGTGCAGTTGGTTAAATGACTCTTGATTTCAGCTCAGGTTATGTTCTCAAGGTTGTGAGATCCAGCCCCCTGTTGGTTCCACGCTCAGCGTGAAGTCTGCTTGAGATTGTCTCTCCCTCTCCCTCTGCCCCTCCCGCTCATGCTCTCTCTCTCCCTCTGAAATCAATCCATCAATCAATCAATCAATCAATCTTAAAAATAAAGAAAAGATTCCTGGAAGAAGGCACAGCTCTGTGAATAGAGAAGGCGTGGCTTAGTGTGGTGCTCAGCTCAGACTCCTTCACGGGGTTGGTGCAGCCCTCCTCCAGTAGGGGGCACTGACTGCTAAAGGCTCACGGTTATGCTTTCTCTGGAGAGTTGTCCTCAGCTCAGTGGAGGCCTGCTCAGCTAGAAGGTTAGTCCACTCCCAGTGGGGTCAGCCCATAGCCAATGAGTGGCTGAGAGAAGGCTGGATCCCTTGTCACAAGTCGAGATAACTCTGTGGTGTTATTCATACTCCACAGCTCCCTGTCACATCAGGCTGAGGCTAGACCAGACTGAACCCACATCTCTGCTCAACTCCTCCCCCTGCCCCATCCTGCTTCTCCCACTCCTTCTCTCCTGAGAGCATTTCTTAATAAATTCCACGCACCTGAATTGCCAAATCAGGCTCGGCTTTAAGGGAATGTGATCTAAGACACTACAATACCTGGAAGGTTGGGAGGATTGCAGGGGCTAAGGAAGGGTTCTTTGTAAGAGGAGTCAGAAACGGACCAGATTTAGGAGCAGGAGACTGTCCTGGCGAACGGGGAGGTGGGGCTGAGTTAAGGCAGACAATCTGGGGTGAAGTTCAGGGATAATGTGGCAGCTTCAGGTAATTCTGAAAAGCTGAAGAAATGATTAGGATGGAAGAGCCTTGAACCACGAAGGCCTTGCCTTCTCTCCCCCCTCCATATTCTTTCTTTAATTAAAAGACTTTATTTTTTACAGAAAATTTGAGCAGCAGGTACAGAGAAATGTTTCATATACTCCTTCTTTCCTGCACATCGTTTCCTCTATTATTAACCTGTTGCATTCTGTGTGGCACATTTGTTACAAGTGATGAACCAATATAGATACATTATTATGAACTAAAGTCCATAGTTTACATTAGGGTTCACTCCAAGTGCTGTGCATTCTATGAGTTTTGACAAATGTATGATGTCTTGTATCCACTGTCACAGTATCCCATATAATGCTCTGAAAACCCCTGAGCTCCCCACCTATTCATCCCTCCCTATGCCCACTTTTCCTCCCTCCAGCTTTTGGGACCCAGAGGAACCCAACAACATCTATGATGAGGACTGTGCCAGCATGAACAAAGGTGGCACCTGGAATGACCTCTCTTGTGACAAGACTACATATTGGATCTGTGAGAGGAAATGTTCCTGTTGAAACTTACAGTTGAGGGTGGGTGTGGGTCCATACCCAGTGCTCCTTGGCTCTTGGGATGAGAACCTTCTGCCCTTCCACGGAAGACTCTGCCTCTCCATGAGCTGACATGGATATACCTAAGATGGAACCAGGAGCTTGGATGTTGCAAGTCCCCTTGGGTGCAAGTGAGAGCATTTCTAGGGTGAGGATTTGAGGGCTTGTTTTTTTTTTTTTTTTTAAAATTTTATTTATTTATTTGGGAGAGAGAGTGAGCGAGGGAGAGTGCACACAAGCAGGGGCAGAGGCAGAGGGAGAAGCAGACTCCCCTGGTGAGCAGAGAGCCCGATGCAGGGCTCAATCCCAGGACCCGGAGATCATGACCTGAGCTGAAAGCAGACGCTTAACCGACTGAGCCACCCAGGCACCCTGTGGGCTTGTTCAATCGGATGGTGTCTTAGTCTGTTCAGGCTGTTATACCAGAAAACTGTAAACTGAGTGGCTTATAAACAACAGAGGTTTATTTATTGAAATTCTGGAAGCTGGAAAGTCCAAGATCAAGGCATAATGTGTAACAAGGGCCCACTTTCTGATTCATAGATGGCCATCTTCTTGCTGTGTTCTCCCATGCTGGAAAGGGTGAGAGCTCTCTAGGGTCCCTGTTATAAGGGCACAAGAGTTCTACCCTCATGACCTAATCACCTCCCAAAGGCCCATCACATTGTGGGTTAGGATTTAACAAATGACTTGGGTGAGGGCCCATAATTCAGTGTGTAGCAGGTAATTCACTGGAGATGTGGTTCATTTCTGAGCGGACCTTCTTGGGCTATTAGCTCTTGCAATATTAGAACTCAGGATGTCAGTTCGCAGTGTGGTCCTTGACCACTGTCTTGGTTTGCTGGGGCTGCCATAATAAAGCACCATGGACTGGCTTAAATGAGAGAAATTTATTGTCTCACTGTTCTGGAGGCGGATGTCTGAGATCAAGGTGTCAGAATGGTTGGTTTCTGGGGAGGCATCTCTCTCTGTCCTCTAGATGACCCCCTTCTCCCTGTGTCTTCACATGGACTTCCCCCTGTGTGTATCTGTGTCCTAATCCCAATCCCTTCTTTTTATAAAGACACAGACCATATTGGATTAGGGCCCATTGTAATGACTTCATTTTCATTAATTACCTCTTCAAAGACCCTACCTCAAAATACAGTCACATTCTGACATACTGGGGGTTAGGACTTCAACACGAATTTTGGGGGAGACGCAATTCAGCCTTTAATACCCACTAATTAAAAAAAAAAATACCCACTAATTGACTGATGTTCCTCCAGTGATTATGACAATGAAAAGCGTCCCCTAGGGGGCTGGTACTACCCTGCAACTGAACACAACACAACATGGCAATCCCTTTGGACAATCCCTGAATTGTATCCAAAGGTAGGTAGACATTCTCCAAACTGATCAACTTATTGATCAACAACTACCCTTGATGAGTAGCAGAATCCTTGCATTGACTGAGAGCAGGTGATTATGGCAAGGAGGCTCCAAGCAGAGGGGCAGTGGGGGAGGTTAGCATTCACTTCATTTCCTGTTCCCATCTCTACTTGTCTCCTCCCACCACCACACCTGCCCCACTCACCAGTACTGAAACCAGCCCTCCATGTAGCCTATAGACTGCAGAGTGGGTGGGCATCCTGTTCTAAGCCCTCTACCCAGGGGTCGTGGGTCCAAGTGACTATTTATCTGGGTCAGGGGAAGTTTCTGCATCTCAGAAGAGGAAACTTTAGCTTCCCCCAGTGTGTTGAAAAATGGGGAAATGGAGCTGTGGTCACATCTTTGAGTCATGCTGGGGGCGTTCCACAGTGGAGCTGTCTCAAACCTATCTCCCTTCCACATCTCTCATGATTGTCTAATTTTAGGTAGAGAGATAAGTGTGAAGGAGGTCCCCTTTACCACTTTGGGTCCAGGGGAGCACAGGTTGGGCATTCTTGGTGAATAAAAATAACAAAAACCACGGTTTATCAAGCATGTATTGTGTGCTAGATAGAAACAGTAGCTCCCACTGAATCTTCACAATGACTCTGTGAGGTTGGAACAATTACCAACCCCATTTTATAGCTGGGGAAATGGAGCCTTGCCCATTGTCATTGAGTGGATAAGTTGCAGAGCTGATATTTGGACTCAATCTGTGCCTCCAATGGTTGATCTCTTTCTGTAGCACCTGCCACCTTTCAAGGGACTGTCTGTAAACCTGAATTATCCCTGAGGACCCCAACCTTGTAGTTCTTATCATGGCTGGCACTTATGGGAAGGGACCTGAGTGATGTGGTGGAACAGACATCCTGGGCTGAGGTAGGGGACTAGGAATGGAGTTCTGGGTCTATTGATAGTAATCTGTGTGGCTCTCCAGGGGCTATTATGATAATGCAGGTGAGAGAGAAAAGGGACCAGCTAGGAAGAAAATTAATCTATTTTGAAGACGGATCAAATGTGGGGTGTGAGAGAAAGAGAGGAGTAAAGAATTACCCCAAAGTTTTCAACTTAATCAACAGGAAAGATGGAGTTATTAATACCTAGAGCTGAGAAAGAAAAAATGCTTATGAACACATGTATTTATTTAAATTTTTAAAAAAAGATTTATTTATTTTAGAGAGACAGAGAGAAAGCATGCAAGCAGGGCGAGGGGCAGAGGGAGAGAGAGAATCCTCAAGCTGACTCCCTGTTGAGCTTGGAGCCGACACGGGGCTCGATCCCAGGACCTTGAGATCATGACCTGAGCCAAAATCAAGGGTCAGATGCTTAACTGACTGAGCCACCCAGGTACCCCCTTACATTTATTTATTTACTAAGATTTTTTGTTTTTAAGTAATCTCTACACCCAGTGTGGGGCTTAAACCCCCAACCCTGGGATCAGGAGTGGTATGCTCTGCTGACTGAGCCAGCCAGGTGCCCCTGAACACATTTAGATTTATGTGGTTCATGAACTCTTGCTGAAGTTCAAGAATGGAATCTTGTGTGCAGCAGATGTGGTCATGGCCTACTTAGATCCTTGATCCTCATATTTTCAGCTACTTCCACCAGAGTCTTCCTGGTCTGGCACATGGCAGGTGAGAAGGGCTAGCAGGGAAATGCTTTCTGGAAGGGCTCTCAGCCAAAGCCTGGACTTAGTGTACACATACCCCAGCTCCCTCACCCCTCAGATGAGATGAGTTTGAAGTGTGTCCCTGTGCTCACCCAGAGGTCCCCACTGGGATTAAGCTTCTATCGCCTACAGTGGTAGCCTGTTCGATAACACATCTTTTTTTTTTTTTTTAAAGATTTTATTTATTTATTTGACAGAGAGAGACAGAATGAGAGAAGGAACACAAGCAGGGAGAGTGGGAGAGGGAGAAGCAGATTTCCCGCTGAGCAAGGAGCCCGATGTGGGGCTCGATCCCAGGACCCTCGGATCATGACCTGAGCCGAAGGCAGACGCTTAACGACTGAGCCACCCAGGCGCCCCTTGATAACACATCTTTGAACACATCTTGTACTGGCTGCCTTTCTTTCCATGACTCACTTCTTCATCCTCCTGCTGGTGTTTCTGGGGATCACCTCCAAAAAACTATTTACACTTGAATCCTTGTCTCGGTGTTTGCTCTTGGGTGAACCCAAACTGAGACACTCTGGAACAGGAGAAGATGGGCTTGTGATGTGGTTCTGGTTTGCCTGGGATGGAGGGGTTCCTGGGACATGGAACTCTCAGTGCTAAAGATGGAAAGTGCTGGGCAAACTGGGATCAGTTGATCGCCCTTATAGGATAGTGCAGTACCAAGAAAACCAACAGAAGAGAAAGCTTCCAGAAGTAGAGGGTATAATGCATATGTAGATCAAACCATCATGCTGTACAACTTTTATCTGTTAATTATAAACAGGGAGCAGGGAGACTGGGGAGCAAGGAGATGCCAATAAACCTGGAAAAAACCTGGAAAAAATAAAAATAAACCTGGAAAAAAATAAACCTGGAAAACTTGGAAAAAATAAAAATACTTGATTATTAAAAAAAGAAGAAAAGCGGACCAATGGAGTCAACTGTGACCCAAATGTCAAGTTAGAATAGATTGAGAAGCCTCCATCCTTAGCACTGAGGAAGCATTTGGGACACTGAGCCATTCCTGGGTGTGTTGGAGGCAGAAATGAGACTGTAGTAACTGAGCAGTGAGGGGGTGGGAGGAAGTGGGGACAGCAGAGCATAAACAACTTTTCTAGAATTTTGACTGTTGAAGAGAGAGGGAGAGAGAGAGAGAGAGGGAGAAAGAGAGAGGTAATTACAGCAGGGAGGATTTTTTGGTTAGAAGGGACCTGAATGCCTCCCCCCTACTCTTCCCAAACCCCCTATTATTCTCATGTTAGATCTCCTGGGACTCCCAGACTAATTTTTTTTTCCTTCATAATTTTCTTCTTTTGGCATTTTGCTCTGTGCTTTAAGAGATTTCTTCCATGTGGTCTTCCAAGCCACTGACTAGGCTCTTGACAGTGACCACACTCTTCTTTAATTTACCCAGAAAATTTTCTCTTTTTAATTATTCCATTTTTATTTAGTTCCATAAAGCATTTTGGTGCTGTACTTGAATCTCCTTACATTCTTATTTTATTGTGTTCAATTCTTATTGGAATTATTCTTGTTTTAAGTTGTCTATCTACTCCAGCAGCTCTATTTGTTGGGTGTCAATTACATCAGTCCATCCTTTTTCCAGCTACTAGGACCTCTCAATGTTGTCATTTCTTCTTGGGGCTCAGACCTGGGGGTTGAGAACTCTAAGCAGGGGCAGTTTCCCAAGCGATGGAAGGAGATGGATTCTCCACCTCCTTGGCACCTCCTTGCTCCCCAGTCTCCTTGCTCCCTTCTAGATTTAGGAGCAGGGTTCCTGTTGGGGGCCAGAGGGATCACACACACACACACACACACACACACAGGAGTGCTGCTGGCCTATCCCAGGAGGTCCATGGACCCCTGTGGGCCAGACTCTTCCTGGAACGGATGGTGTCTG